GGCCTGATATCACTCCATCTGTAATAATTCACTTTTAGAAATGAAACAAAAAAAAATACTGAACTTTTAAACAATATACAAAATCTACCTTTTAGATGTACCTCTAAATCTATGTGAACCACAATGAATGAGAAGTAATCTTTGTATTTCTCCATCAGCCAAAATAAAGATAAAAGTAAAAGTGGGTGCATTTTTATTGGAATTGTTTAGATTAAAGCATAATTTAGCCTAAAATAGCCCAGTCAAACTCCTGCCATTTATCAAACACACAAACTGTGGCACAAACATCCTCTATTCGATCTGAGGGAGTTATTTAAATCAGTCTCTGGATATGACATTCTCTAAAGACCTAAAGCTATAATTAGAGCAATTTGGATCTAAAAAGTAGAGAAAGCTGCACTGAAAAAAATAATGCAACTGCTTTTGGCTTTTTACTTGATCATATTTAGTTACTTTAACACAAATGTTTTATGTCCTTCCCTGCTAGCATTAAACAATTGTGTTAAAGTAATCAAATATGATTAACTAAATGCCAAAAGCGATTCCATTATTTTATATATCACACTTATTTTGCCTCTAATTTAATTGCTTTTGTTTTATACTTCAGCAAATTGCTGACAACCTTTAAGGGGTACTAACACTAACCTACTGTATGCTGCATATATTCAATAAAACCTGAAAAAAAAAAATAATGTGAAAGAATTTCCACCTGGTTTTCACCAGAGGCGTAGCCAGAAAATTTTTATAAGGGTGGCCAAGTATTAACCAAATAACACTTAGGGGTGGCCGAAAGCAGATAGACACCAGAACCTCAGGGTCAAGCCAAAGATAAGACTAACTATACTTTTCACATCTTTTCCATTGTCATTACTTACTTCCTTGTATCAATAATCATGCTGCATAATATTGATATCTTATGTACTAATATCTACATAAATTGATTATTTAATACGTTTTTATTAAAATAGTTATGTATCTCTGATTTCACTCAAGACTCTTAGATGACTTGCAGAGACACATCATTTTCTCTTTACTCCATAAAATACAAAATCTAGTTCTGAAAAGAGCATAAATTCTGTACTTATCATCTTTAATGTTAGTATATTGATTTGAATAATAAACCGCAGTGTTTTTGTTGTCAAGTAATTATGAATATATGAAAAAATACTAAGTAATATATGAAAAATGAAAATGTTTTGAATATTCTACTTGAGAGTATAACTGCTGCCACTATCTGCATTAGGGGGTAAAACATGGTAGGGGTTGCCATGGGGTGGCCAATGATTGGTGAAGGGTGGCCATGGCCACCCCTGGCCCCCCATCTAGCTCCACCCCTGGTTTTCACCACTAAAAGAACGCTGGATTTGTTTGATTAGTGAAAAGAAACCACTTTAGTGTTAATAGTATTTTAAGTTCAGCAGTATCTTGAATACAAATGAATGTAGAGAAGTTAAGAAAGGTAAAATACTATTAGGTATTTCTGTATTTAGGAGAATAAATTGAGAAGAGTCTGTGCAGCGCCCATCATCATCATTGTAGTTTCTCCGCTGCTGTCACATCCTGGAGCAGCCATGCGTTGCATCCAGGGAAAAACAGTGCGACATTAGATGCTGGCCTCTCTGCAGCGATGCTGCCACATACCTGCAGATCTGACTGTTGTTTATCCAACGCGCAAACAGCGCAGCGTTATAAACATACCTCACGGCAACCCTACGCGGCCTTGAACCTCATGACACCCCCCACCCCCTGTGAAACTCACCAGATGCAGAGACAAGGGGAGTATGAGGAGAAATATCCACAGATAAAGGTGGCAGGAGTTGTTGAATTTGTTCTGGTCCGGGTCGTGATACCAGCCGCCGGTCAGAGATGCCCACACACCCTGACGCAGGGTCTGTACAACGTGGGAGCCCATGTCTGCTCCACTCCGCTTCGGTTTGAACGGATGATGCTGATGATGATGCTGCAAGGCAACAATGAAATGCTCTCCTCTAACGTGTGATGCTGTCAATGCGCCTCCATGTTGGAGCGACGCAGCAGAGCTCCGGAGCCCTCTCTCTCATCCCTCCTGATGGGATCCTCTTGTTCTTCCCATTGGTGCGCTGCTGCCTCCTCGGTTCTCATCCTGACCTGCTCGGCTCTTCCCTTCCTCCCTCTCCTCCGCTCCTACAGATGCGTAGCACTGACAGCCCCCGCCCCTCCTCCCCTCTCTCCCTATTATGAGTCCCACCTTACTGCTCAGGATGCGAGGCAGTATGGCAGGACATTGAGGGAAATAATCCATCGCTTCATCTAAAAAATGTTTTTTGTCAAAACCAACAAAATGTCTTACACGACTTACATAATTTTATTTCATAACAAATTTCTGTGTAACTTTTCACATAATTTCAACAAAAAGCTATTAAATAAACATTGCGTGATGCATATTCAGTATTTCTATAGTACTTGTTATAATGTATTATTATAATAAATAATAAAATAATAACTGAAGTTTGTTGATCTGACATCTGAGAAAAATACCTCTGCATTTAATCCATCCCCTTGGGGAGCAGTGGCAGGGGTGGAGCTAGATGGGGGGGCAGGGGTGGCCATGGCCACCCTTAGCCAATCATTGGCCACCCCTGTGGCAACCCTACCATTCATTTCCATCTAATACAGATGGTGGCAACAGTACTCAAGTGGAATATTTAAAACATTTTTTCATTTATTGACAATTACTTGACAACAAAAACACTATGGTTAATTATGCACAACAATATACTAACACTGAAGATGATAAATACAGAATTCAAGCTGAAATAGATTTTGTGTTTTATGGGGTAGAGAGAAAAGTAATCTAGGAGTCTTCAGGGAAATCATAGATAAATAAATATTTTAATAAAAAGCATATTAAATAATCAATTTATGTAGATATTTGTACTTGTAAATATCAATTTTATGCAGAATAATTACTGATAAAAGTAGGTAAGTAATGACAATGGAAAAGATGTTCACCCAAAACTCAAACCTGAAAGAATTTTATCCACTTTACCTTTTATCTAGAAAGCACAGATGTTTGAATATATTTGTCCATTTGTTAGCAAATGCTGTGGGAAAATATAGTTTGTCTTTATTTAGAAAATATGGATGTTTTGCTCATTCATTTTCCTGTTGGAACATTGTAGATTTACCGTGGGGTTTTGATGCCTATCTGCTTTCGACCACCCCTCAGTGTACATTGGTTATTGCCTGACCACCCTTATAAAAATTTTCTGGCTATGCCTTTGAGCAGTGGGCTGCTACATTGCGGCGCCCAAGGAGCAAAGTCGGGTTAAGGGTCTTTGTTTGGAGACCCAGAGTGGCAGTCTGTGGGAGTAGGGCTCAGAACCTCAGGTTTTCAAACTCTATGCCCTAACCACTAGACCACCACTCCCCAATTCTATTAATTAGAATCTCTAATTGTCCAGTTTATGTATTCAGAATTAATACATTTATTATTGGATGTTTAAATGCAGAAAAATCAGGTTTACTTTAAATAGTACACTCCTTAGCATAAATTTTGAGTAATTATACTTTATTAATACTAAGTAAATAAACCTGATTATTTATTTCAAATAAATAGGCTTTAATATTTCCATCAGCATGTTAATATCTGAAATTTTAGATGCACACTTATATATTCACATATCAGGCTTTGGGGTGATATCAGACCAATTTATATCATTATTGACTCAGGACATCTCTAGCTGAGATAACTGCAGACACTGTCTTTTAGGGATAATTCTATGAAGAACGACTTTTGAATATGTTAGAATAGAATAGAATAAAACTTTATTGTCATTACATTGTCACAAGTACAAAGCAACGAAATGTAGTTTGCATCTATACAGAAGTGCTATACATTATATAAATATGTATTTACATATGAACAGAGACTATGCATGTATGGACTGCAAAGGGTATATAAAAACAAATAGTAATTGTAAGAGGGTATATAATAAATAAATATGAAAGCAATATACTGATTTCACATGAAATGGATTATCGTGGAAATCAAAAATATGTTGGGCTTCATGGTGGGTAGCACTGTTGCCATGCAGCAAGAAGGTACCAGGTTCGAATCCTGGCCCGAGGTCATTCTGCATGGAGTTTGCATGGTCTCCCTGTGCATGTGTGGGTTGTCTCTGGGTAGTCCGCCTTCCTCCTACAGTCTAAAATCATGAATGTTAGGCTCCTGGGGTTCTCTTAATTGCCCTGAGGTGTGAGTGTTTGTGGGCAACCTATTTATGAAAACTATAGCAAGGAAATAAACGTTAATCAAAATAGCTTTTAAAGATGTTTTCCATTGGAAAATACACTGAGCAAAGAGCTCATGGGATAATGAAACCCAGTGCAAACACTACACCATCATTTCACCAATATGCTAAATGCCTCATGACATCCTTATAACATTTTAGAATTAATGAGGTGAAAGTTGGTAAAAACTCGAGAAATAGTCCAATTTGGACTTTATATTCAGTGTCTGTGGTGTGGTGCGAACATGAACTTCAGTATTAAACCACTCATATTGGGACAAAAGGAATCCGACGCGCTGTTTTCAATGGTATTATATGCAAATTGGATTTGCCATACTTCACATTAAAGCGGCTATAGGGAGAATCTCGGACGCTCGATCAAGTCACGGTGTCCCTACCATACAAAGAATGCACGCTTGTTTGTATCAAATTGTATACAGTCATACAGATAGTAGTGCAAACTTTATGTGTATGCATGTATGGAGTTAATTATAATAAGCCCTATTTTAAAGGTTGTAATTTATTTTTGTCAAAGAGAATGTATCTGGGGTTGTATAAGGGATGCTATGGTTCACTCTTCCAATGATTTCCATGAAAGCGGGCTCTCTACATACATTCCTGCAGTGGCTCCTCCCCCCCTCCACCGTGCTGCGCGTTGTCACGTGTCACAGAATCCACCAATCAGCGTCCAGCACAACCTGCCGCTGAGAGCAGCAGGCAGCAGCCTCCTCAGATCCAGCCACAGCCTGCCGCTGCTGCCACCACCTCCAAGCAAAGCGACAACATCGATCGATCGGCGGCGGTGGGAGGGATTGTTTTGGTTAAAGTTTACCAGTTGCTGTTTTATGCTTCTGTCCGAGTTCGACTTTCAAAATGTTTTCTGTGACTTTTATTTGTTCACCCGATTTCTCCCCCCACTTGCTGGAGAGACTCTGGATAAAGCGGTCTAAAAGAGCAGCAACTTTTTCCCAAACCGACCAACGGGCTGACCTATGCTAAGCTAGCCCGCTAGCCAAAAGTCTGGAATGCAGTCGGGCTTTTTTTTTGTTTGTTTACAGTCCACAAACCAGCAGGCAAAATCGACATTTTCGTCACTCGGTTGCTTCTAGCTGTATTCCTGCGTGTTTTGAAGGGGTCACCAGCACCAGGGGAGGCTCCGTGTTCCTCCTGTCGGACGGCAGGTGCACCTCTCGCGGCACCTGCGGATACTCGGTTCCTCTGCTCCATCGGTAAACGGCTAACTTTAGTTTGCTCACAGCAGACTCAGCTATTCACGCTGTTACTTATGTTCCTCCTGTGAAGCTAATCTTAATAATTAATTTATACCCTTTTTTTTTAGCTTTTTATCACTCAGCTCATGAAGCGGTGGGATTTAAGCCGTGTTTCGGCTAATCTTAGCGAGCAGCCTCGCTAAGTTGCTTTTTACCGACGTGGATCCACGCTTGTCCACTCAGTCCCACGGGACTTTGGACACGGTTTGGTCCTGCTGAGAGGATTCCTCTCGTTTTCTCTTCGGAAAAAGGCAGTATGAATATTTTAGAGAGTCGTATTTTCCCTTTTTAAACTTTTTTTCCCCCACTTAGTTCTCTTATATCTGCACCCTATGGTGCCGCTACGGCCACCGAGAAATGGATGTCTCTCAGGCCGCTTTCCCAAACGGTGAAGGGCGGCCGGACGGCGGTGGGACCGGAGAACATGCCTGGACAGAGTGCCCGACCGTCCGCTCGTGGGCTCACTCTGCCCCGCTGTGTCCCACCCGGTCCCTGTGGACCGCCGCGTACGACTACGAGGCAACAGGCGAGGACGAGCTGAGCCTGAGGAGAGGGGACGTGGTGGAAGTGCTGTCCCAGGACGCTGCGATCTCCGGAGATGAAGGATGGTGGACGGGCAAGCTGAACCACCGGGTCGGGATTTTCCCTTCCAATTACGTGACGTACCAGCCCGCTATCTACCGCCTCCCAGCAGCCGGCGGGTCGGTGGGGGTGTCGGAGCAAGTGCCCAACACACCCACCCAGATCCCCTTCAGTGAACTGGTGCTGGAGGAAATCATCGGCGTGGGTGGATTCGGTAAAGTTTACCGGGGAACTTGGAAAGATCAGGAGTTCGCGGTTAAAGCGGCCCGACAAGACCCGGATGAGGACATAACTGCCACCGCTGCCAGTGTCAAGCAGGAGGCGAAGCTTTTCTCCATGCTGCAGCATCCGAACATCATCAAGCTGGAGGGGGTCTGCTTGGAGGAGCCCAACCTGTGCCTGGTGATGGAGTACGCCCGAGGTGGGACGCTGAATCGGGCGCTGACTGGGAGGCGCATCCCTCCACACATCCTGGTGAACTGGGCCGTGCAGATTGCACGCGGGATGCACTATCTGCACGAGGAGGCTGTGGTACCCATCATCCACCGTGACCTGAAGTCCAGTAACAGTAAGCAGAGATTGTTGTGTATTTTTGCAGCAGACAATGATTCCCAGAGTGTCCCTCTGGATTTAAAAAAATACATGAAAGCTCATTTATTATTACTGTGTATAAAGTTTTCCTGCGGTGTTCAGCCCAATAGTCACCTGTGCATGCTCATTAGGAGTGTTAGGATACCAAAACCAGTTAGGATCAAACTGTGAAGTGAAAATAAAATGACAAACTGTTTAATTAAACAAAAAACTCTAAAAATCTGGATTAGTTTTCATCCCCCTTTACCTTAAACCCTCTTAATAAAACCTAGAACAACCATGTTCTAACTTCATCTAATTACAAACCAGAAAAAACGCCCCATTTAAGGCTCCAAACGTTTTTTCCTGTATTGCTCGAATCATTTTTGTACTTTTTATAAACTGCTACTTTAAAAAAAAAAAAAAAAAAATTTATTTTCTTCATAGTTAAATATATTCTGAAACTGTTGTGGTAACTATTTTAAAAAATACTAAAATATTGTTTTATTTAAAAGCTTTCTGTCCCATGTTTTTTCTCATATAATTTGGTTCAAATCTTAATTTTTATTAGTTGATCAGTGTTAAGAATCTCTATTTTGCATGCAAGCTATCACATGCGGACCCTGAAAGTGTCCTGCAGCGCTTTTGTCATTCCATACATGAAAGTTGGGCGTTATTTGACCAGAACTGTAGAGGATCAAAATAGAGGGCAGGAGGAAATTACCATAATCTCTGGGTAATTTTTTCTCACTATAAATAGAGCCATTCTATTTAAGCCTTATTACATTAGTGGTCAACAGCATCATAAAGATTATTTGTTTCTGTTTATCTAAGAGACCTATAGTAAATGTGAATACATTTTTAAGTGGAAGAATTTGTCCGCAGGAAAACTTAATAGACTTTACAAATCTGACCTTTAATGGAAGTCCCCCCCTTCAATTTGCCTCCAAGCCCATGAAAGAAGTTGATCTGGTCAGAGGAGGCTAATATGTAACTTTTTGGCTTACATTGCCACATTTGAGGCAGAATAAACAATGTTCTATGTAGGCATAAAAAGCTCAATTCCCATGGGGAAACATGGTGGTGGTAGAATCATGCTGTGGGACTTTTTCTCTCCAGAAAATACACTTTGTAAGGTTGAGCAGAAACATTTAATTTAAAAATGTCTAAAGCTGGAAATGGTTTTGATTATCGCCCTAAAAGGGTTTCAGGGCTTTGGGCATCAGGACATGTGTGCTTTCAAACATTTCAAGCTCCCTGCTCATTAGGACTGCATTCCCAGCTCTACTATTCCAGCTTTAGATGAGGCTGCTGCAAACCCATAATCCACAGGTTCCAGCAGAGTACTTGCTCAGTCCAGGCCTTCTCCTTTGCTGTGAATTGGTGGGGGGAAGGCATCAAGAGGATGTGAAATAAGGTTAAGAGTTTGCCCAGCTGGGCCACTTTCCCTTATGCTTTAAAACACACAGATAAACTCTCCCAGCCCCCTCTCCTAAAGTTGAAATTCTGTTAAAATAAAGTATGTGATTTACCCTTTTCATAACTACACATACAAGCTCTACAGCCACCGGCAGTTTACGATTCAGAGGGAATTAGTATGTGAATAATTGTTTAAAGGAACTAAGCTGGTGATTTATTAAGCAGGAACAGAACGGATGCTGTGAGCCCTACTATAACAGGCTCATGTAGCTGATTTTGGTTCACAGAGCAGCAGGCCTACTGTTCCAGTTCTGGTAATTGTCAAGAGGCCAGCAAACTTTAGTTTCCCAGGACTGATTAATGAATGGAAAGGACTGGAAGTGAAAAAAAAAAAGGTTCGAGGCACATACTCAGAAACACAGGCCACTCGCTTCAGCTCAGGTGTGTTTATGTGTGTAATGCGACTCCAAACACAATTTCTCTCCCCTTTTGTGATGGGAGAATCCCATCAGCCTGTGGCCATGTGGGGAGCAGCTCTGGCGTACAGATGTCTGTTTATCTCCAGCTGTGAAAGTTGATGTGTGAACGTCGGGACAAAACCTGTGAAATGTACACATACCAGACTATCCAGGCGCTCTGGGTTAGGACTTTCTGAATTTGGAAGCTATCATGTTGCACTAATGTGGGGGATCCTATGACTAACAAGGCTATTTGTGCAGTCATCTATCGTGCAGCCAGGGACAATATTAGATATATTAGAAATGCATAATGTCTTGTAGGGTGACAGAATTTAAGCTTAGGAATAAAAAAAAACTTGACTAAATAATATAAAGATATATAAATGCAATACATTAAATGCATCCAAACTAAATTAAAGCACATCTTCTGTTATTTCTCAGATAGTAAATTTTACAAAATAAATTTTGTTTGCAGAACTTGTAATGTGTACAGTGTAGATATTCAACTTTTTCTTGCAGTTGTTGCTTCAAAACAAATAACTGCTTATATTTGGAAAGAATTTGTTTTTATTTAGTCTTATATGTTAGATTTTTAAATTATTCATCCAGTTATTGTCTCAAACGTTAACCTTTTAGGACTCCTTTCTGACACTTTTGTAAAAGAAACACCAAAACCATGTTTGGGAAAGACGGTCAGTTTTCAGCTGCATTAGCAGGTTTCGCATCACTTTGCTTTATTACCATCAGCCTCCTTTGCTGACCCTCATTGGGCCGGATGCATCCAGAGAAAATCTCTTTATTTTTATTTTTCAGAGACGTTTCTAAAATGAGCCTTGCTGACATTGAAAATGACAAACTTTTAGTCCTTTTTAATTATAAATAGGTGTGGAAAAAAATCATTTTGGCAATAAAATTTGATTTTTGGCTGCCTGATATAATATCGATCTTTCAGTTCCTAGTATTGCCTTTATTTCCCCTTTTTTTTTTTTTTAAAGCAAAACATTTTTACCTAAAATTGAGGGAAAATGGGCTACCTATGTACCACCTCTTTGGCAGATGATGCTGTGGAGCCCTGCTGTGCGGCGCAGCCTATATGTAGTTGAGGCAGTCACAGTGGACGACCTGGACTAATTCAAGCCCCAAGCCACATGAATACCAAAATAACTGAACGATCAATAACATCTGGTGAACATATACAGAAGTGGCTTGTTTATCTATACATTTAATTTTGATAGCAGGAAAAAACATCGCAATATATAGTGATATTTCAGTATAGTAATAATATGGTGTTATCGTAACACGGATCGTATCGCAACCTCCATGCCAATACTCACCGCTACTCATTAACAACTTCTACACTGATTAGAGACGTTGCTTTTTTTACACGTTAGAAATATGATGTCTTCATTAATTGCTGAATAAGAAATAAAAAAATGTTGATTTTTAGTTTGGGATGAGCCAACCTCTGATCAGGGTGTGTAAAACCTTTAATTGGCGGATCCCAAGCCTTTTCACCCTAATTAGAGGCCATACATGTTTAATAACCGACTTCAGGAGACCTGTTGGTTTAGATTAAGTTTGATGCTTTAAATCTGGACCAGATGGAGCAAAAGCATTTAACCGTTGTGTGGAGCGTTGCTGCTAATCGGATGTTTGGTTAACACACACAAACGCACTTTCCCCAAACGGGCAGAGTGCTGCAAACACAAGTCGTTGTGTTTGTCCTGCCACCTCTCTGTGAAACGGCAAAAGCCTAAACTAGAACAGAGAGAGCTCCATATAGGAATTACTGAGTTCATTTATAAAATTAACATTTGTTGTTCAAATTGAAAGCTTGCTAACAGCGGTTTGAAGTCTTGCAGGTAGAAGATGGTGTCGAGGTCAGAAGTCTGGAGATGTGCGCTCAGTATTGAGTGCTAGTTCAATAAGAACTGTGTACCAAGCTGTGTGTGTTTGGTCAGAAGCAGGACAGTTGGTTCACAAAAGACTCTGTCTGACACACAAACACTCAAATGGCTCCCTGCGGTGTGTTTGAGTTCTTTTCCTATTAAAAATGGCACGATGCAGCTCAGACGTTTTTGCATGGGCTACTGTTTTTCCGTTGGTTTTTGCTTTAAGTTACTGAAAGTGATAAAAGAGATTAATCTACATAGGAGGAGTTTAATTGAATATAATCACTGCAATAAGTGTTGTTCAAATCACATGGCTATGTCTGTCTCCCGCTTCCATTACAAACATCTATTGGATAAAGACAGGTGTGCACATACAGATGTAGAAGAACAAAGTTTAAAAAAAAAGCCATTCTACTTTCTTCGCCTGTCATTCATCAACTCTCAGTGCACACACGCTCTCTGCAGACAAACATGCACCTATTTGATCAGTGATTAGACTGTAAAGTAATATGTTGGAAGTCAGTAAGATTTGTCCATTCTCTTTTGTGTTTTTCAACCTAATCTGTAAAATCCCAGCCTGCAGGGAGGAATGTTGCTAATGAGGGATAAAAGCTTAACATACGTTTACACAATGGACTGGTCAAGCAGTGGTTGCTAGGCTACTTTGGCCAAAAGAATGGCTAGGACTCGGAGGGTCTCAAAGCCCTCGTTTTGTTTTGTTCTGTTCATATTTAATCTCCCAGAGAGGAGCGCTACTCTTTTATTGCCCTAACTGAGGGGGTTTATTTCTCCTCTTCCTCTCCTTGTTTTGTTCTGCCCCAACTTGCTGCTTGATATTTCTCCCGTTTAGTTAGTGCAGACTTTTTTGTACTAGTAGTTTTTGTTATAAAAATATCCAAACCTATTCAGAACTTAAAATGCTAGCAGGTATTGTTTGTCTACATGCTCTCCGTTATGTGAAATTTTAAAATCAATCATTTATTAAAACTTGTGCTCCTATTACCTGAGAAGTACATATTTAGCAAAAAAAATGTCTTAGCACCTAATGTGATGCTACTGAGTTGAGTTTAGTTTGTGGTCATTTCTTTATGCACACACATTTAAACATTTCTGAATGTATACATAGTCTGTAGAATTGCAATGAGTAAATTAACTTGTTTTTTTTAGAAATTTTTATTAGAGCATGTTTTATTTTTTTGTTTTCTTTTAACATGGATTTAGTGCTGTAT